ACTTACTTAGAGATTATCAAGAATTTATAAGAAATATGGCATAAAAGATACAAAGACTTTCACAACTGGAAAAAACAATAAGGTATCACAAAAACTTTGGAAAAGTTACACAAATATAGTACTATCATGTCAGATCCATAGATAAAAGAAAGAGGGAAATATATAAAAGAACAATTTATCAGTATAGTTAACAAATATATTTATAAAAGTATTAGATCGATTATAACTTCTTACATCTACAGTAATGACCTATAGGCAATGATTTTATTAATTAGAAGATTTATCCAAATTAGTAAAGGAGTGAAATATCATTTCCTAGGTTGCATTTAGAGAAATAGTTTTTCGACGATAAGTGAGTCAGTATGTGAAAGTCACAATAATTTGTAAATACCTAGCATATATACAATAAAGACATGCCATGCTAACTTGATTGCAGGTTAAAAAAAAAATCAATCACAACTTCTTACTATTTATTAAAAATTTTGTATAGCACTAGCCTAACCTTAACAGGTTAGTTTCCATTAAAGGGTGGCAACAAGCCAAAAGGTTGTTTCTTCTTATCAAGTTTTATTTGGTAAATAAATATAGTTATAGTATAGACATATATAACTTTCTACTAATAAAACTTTTTCTACTGATCCTCTAACCATACACAAAAAAGATATTTGCAAGAAGTTTTTACACTTCCTTGCTAATAAAGTCTTAACACTTTCCTTAAAACAACTTGAAGTATGACTTAAAGAGACACTTTTACCCTTTCTCTATTGTTTACAAACCTCTTTACTCAAAAACTTAACTTTTAGTATTCAAAAAAAGTCAAGTAATACCTTTGATATTAATGGCAAGAAAATTTTTAAAGAAAGAAAAATTGATTATAAAGTATCTGAAGATCTTTATAATCTTTGAAATGAGAGGCTTATAGAGATTTTCTGCAGTAAAAAGACTTATTTTTTCTTTTTTTAACTGTCTTGGTCCTCTTAAAGCTTTTATATTTATAGTTTTCTAGAAAATTTTGCCTATTAAGTTTAACCTTAAATTTTGAATAGTACAAATTCTTACCAAAAGTGATTGGTTGATACGAAACATATCAGTTTTTGGAATGTAAACAAGCTCCTATTGATAAAAATGTGTTCCTAAAGAGGGAGGTAAGAACAAACGTCAAATGTTCCTCATTAGGAAACATTAAAATTTTTAAAATAATAACCATAAAAAAACTATCTACAATTATTTTTCATTATTCAAATCATTGATTTATAGCATTTCTTGAATTTTGTCCCTATTAAAGTAAAGAGCTATGAATTTTGTTTCTCAAAAAGGAACATAAGTAATCTGCAAAATTTTATATGCTAAATACTTTAAGGATCCATCATTACCTATTGGTCATACTCATGTGTCTCAATATATTATTGGTGATATAGGAAAGAAAGTTTTAGAAAAAGTGTCCCCTCCAATTATGTATATTCAACCTTCAAGAAACAATTATGATATCAAAAGACGAGTTATGAATAGAAATAAAAAATCTAATACCTATCATTCATTAAGTTCCTCAGATAATAAAAAGACTTTCTTGAACAAAAGCTAAGATCTCGAAAAGATTTTTTTATTCCAGTTAGGCAAACTCTTTCATAATATAGTGCTGGTTTCAATAGCATTAAATGAATCTATATATCAGCAAAAAGGATAAGTTTCTTAAATATTCTGTTTGAAGTCATTTTCAAGAATGGTTAAGTTTCTTAAACATAATAAAGCTTAAAAAATATTTCAATTAGACAAATTCCTTTTGAGAGAAAACTGTGAAATAGAGCAAGAATTTTTTGGAGGGCTTTAAATTGTATCTCTCTTTTTCTTTTTTTTCCTAGTACCAACTTTAACAATTTATTATTTTTTGAGATAATCAACAGTAACAAACTATTAATAATAACTTTGATTAACTTAAAGGCTTTATGCCAAGCTACTAGGAGAGTGTAATATTGTCTCCTAAATCTGACTTAGTATACTTAGTTTAGACTTATTTTTGTTTAATCCAAACTAGCTTAATGGACTCCTCATATTTTTTAAGTAGTGTAGTCCTTTAACTAATAATATACAATAATGAGTTATTTCCTTTGTGAAAGACTATAAACATTGTGGTATCTTTTAATATCTCAATAAAGACATGCCATTGTAACATAATTATAAGTTAAAAAAAAAAAAAAAACAATTTTTAAATTGATATAATAATATCTATTTATTAGAATTATTATATCAATAATTTTTTAATTCTATTATCTTGAAAACTTTATAATATTTCTTTGATAAATAATAAAAATACAAACAATTAATTTTTTTATTAAACTTTTTTAATATAAATAAAAACTATAGTAATATTAATATATATATCAGATTAACTTATTAAAAAACTATTTTTATTAATTAACCTGTAGATTAATAGCACAGTGGTAGTGCTCCCAAGTCGCAATCACAAGGTCCGTAATTCAATACCACTTAAGAACCAAAATCAAAAATTACCCTTCTAATCAGGTTTACCAGTTATCCTGTGAAAGTCGTACCCAATCATCTGGAACAAGCTTTAATCAGGTTAGGCTATATAAAGATGGGACTTCTGACCTCCCGTCGATCAGGGACTGGGATCTACAGTTGTACTATCAGAAGGATTGCAATGAAGAAAGGCTTCTGGTCTAACCTACCATAAACATCCCACAGACCCCCTGCCCTGGCAGTCTCCAGGACCTCTGCCCTTCTAGCTCAGGATATCTCAATATGGTGCTCTGCTTAAATAAAAATCAGTCAAGCAACTGATCCGATGCCACAAGTGGTGACAAAGAAGGTAAAGTGCTTCCTTCCGAGGTCTAAGTGAATAATATCTTTAGGAGTATTGGAGGGTAAAATTAAAATCCTGTTGGGTACACACTATACAGCCTAGTTTTGTGAATATAATACAAAAATTTATAAAAAGCTAACTGCTAGACTAGCCTGTTTCACCGTCGATAACTGTGTATTTGACCATCCAGCCTCTAGCTGGGTTTGCCCCACTCACAAAGTGATTAGTGGGTCCACCTAGAGATAACCGTGATAGGTTATCATTAATTTGCATGCATATAGAAATATATAGTTTGTATGAGATGATTGATATGATATCCAGGATTTCATTATCCAAGATGTTAAGTTAATTTTTAATAAAAAGCGCTTGCATCTAATACCAGTTGCAGTTTAAATAAAAAAAAAAACAAACTATTTTTATTAATTCTTTAACAATATACAGTACAAAAAATATGTTTATATGAAGCTTTTATATTTTTTAATTAATTAAATATTTTTATTTTCCTTAAATCAACTTGAAATTTGTCTTAAAAAGTCATTACTATTTTTTTTTACTTGTTTATAAACTTTTTTAAATAAAAATTTAAGTTTTTAATAACTTAAATAGATTCAAGTACATATTTATTTTACTAAAGACAAAAATATTCCAAAGAAAAAAAAGAACCTATTAATAAAGTATTATCTCTTAAAGCTGAAAATAAAAAGAAGATAAAAAGTTTTTAATAAAGAAAAATTTAATTTTTATCTTTAAAGATATATACCTATAATTCTCTTAGAATATTTATTTTTTTTCATTATTTTTTTAAGAAAATTTATCTATCTCAGTTTATTCTTGAATTTTGGATAATATAATTTTATCTGATATTTGATTGATTAATATTAAGAATATTGATAATAAAATATAAACAAGTTTTTATTGATTATATTTATATTTCACTATATTTAGATCTATTTCAAAAAGAGTTGACAAGGTTATTGATTTTTTTATTTACTCTTTAACTCAACTTTAAGACATAAAAAATAGAATATATAAATAATGATCTCTATTGTAATGTTCTTCAGTAATAAAAATTAAAAGAAAATGATTTATAAATTAATCTATTAGTATCAATATATATAATACTATTCTCAACCTCTTTTATTCTTAATAGGATTAAATTCCTTTTTTTTTTTTTCATAAACTTCTCAAAAAAGTGATTTAGTAGTTCTTAAAGATTTCCTTTTTTTTTTTTATTAAGTATTAATATCTAACTTTCATATATAATCTATATTGATATTTTGAAAACTTTTGCAAGGAAGCACAAGTTAACTATCAAAAGTAATACAGTAGCTGAAATTCTTATATTTTTTAAGGAATTCTAGGTAAAGGTATCTAAAATACAACTAACATTATACAAGAATAATTAGAAAATCTGAAATATACTTAAATCATATATTAATATTTCTATTATTATATATAAAAGAGTATTCGATACTATCTAAAGGGTTTTAATGGATATACTAAATGAAATTTTCTTCTCCTTATAAGCCATATAGTAAGGAATAATATATTGTATATAGACTAACTATCCCATTTACTCAATTAATTTTTTATCTTTCCTCTTTTACTTCTTTTCAATACTTGTGATCTTTTGCTAGTTCTTACTTAAGAAACAACAACATGCCTGAGGATGGCCCCAGTGGTCATGTCATTTAGTTTTATAGGTTTCAATTATTTTTTAATATATACTTTACATTAAAGAATATATTCAATAAAGCTAAGGGGTTTAAAAACAAAAAAAAAACTATACGCATATCAGCTGATTATACAATCACGTGAAATTTTGTCATTATCTCATGACATTGCAAGTTCTTTAAGAAAGGATATCTGCTAAGTAGGGTTGTTATTTCGTAAAGACAGCTAAAAATTCGAGATAAATAAATAGATACATACATAAAAAATGGATCAAGCCACGGCAGCACTGTTGAGCATTCTTCACAAGAATTCTTCCGAGTCATCATTGGCAGGACAAATTAGTTCACCGACGCCTTCGTATCCGTCTCAACCCACCCCCCCTTTAGTACAAAGCTCACCAAATTCGTCAGTTTTTAATGGTTTTAATCAAACGTTTACACAACCAACTGGTTATAGTCCCACTTCTGTATTTTCTTCAACCGCTACCACGGTTCCACTTCAATCAATGCAAACAATTTCTCCCAATCCTTTGGGTTCGTTGCTTAATACTTTCAACAGCCAGATCGCCTCACCCACACCAACGCCGCCTATAGTCAGTATAGGAGTGACTCAGATGCAAGGTCCGTTAAACTCCCAAAATGTTGATTCTGGTAGTGTAGGAATCGATGAGGCTTCGACAAAGATTCTTAAAGAAGTACTATTCGGTCATGCTTCGCAAACACCAAGGTATTAATTAAAAATTTATAATTACAGTATTCATAAGAAAATGGTATCGCAGTTTTAGCATTAGCTGATTTAATTGGCTAAAATTTACTCAGTCAGCAAGAAAACGAAGTGAATTATCAATCTGAAACTTTAATGGCATCAGCTGAAAGTGCGGAAGATGATGAAGATGCTTCTCCCGAGGATGCATCGGAAGTTGAGGTGATAGATTACAACGATCTATACAGTCTAGATTCTATCAAACCATCGGTTTCCGCATCCATTTCTAAACCTTCACCTACCTCCACAAGCAACTCTGTGTTTACATACAGTAATCCTTTCGAATATTTAAAAAATTCATCGCCCCCCTCCCCTTCTAATCTTGATCTGCAGCTTCCGCATAAGAAAGGAGAATCTTCGACACCAAAAGACGGAGGTGTGTACAAACCTCAACAACAAAAAGAACCTGAGTTGTCCACATGGGATGTATGTGAAAGTGGAGTATCAAAAGGTCAATCAAGGTACAATAGCCTTTCACTTTATAATTCTATAATTTTTCATCGTTAAATGTTTGACGGGTACTCTCCGCAATTTCAGTATTCCAGATGGCGTTAGACTTCCTAGAGGAATTATTTTGTACCATACCGGAGAGCTAAACGAAAAAATATTGAGTCCAAAAGGGTTTCATTGTGATTCTATAGCGCTAGTTAATAATGATCTGGAGCACCGTCCTGGAAAGTCCATTGCTATCAACAGGACTTACATATGTTATGCCATCAGAGGTTAGGTTATACGGAAGTAATTTTATGACATATACTCAATTAACCAAATATGTATTGTTTTATTTCTATAGGAGGCAAAATTCGAGTGATCAGCAGCGAACACGGCAACAAAGTAATGTTGAAAAATCATGAAAAACAAATACTTGATATGTGTATTCAAGAAACGTCGCATGACGAGCATCAAGCGGAAAAACAATTACTCTTAGCTATTGGTGCCGATAGTAAGATCGTGGTTTGGGAGCTTCTTCCCTCGGAGTCTAAAAACAATGAGATTATGTATGTCTCTTTTTTCTCTTTTATCAATTTGTAATAGGAACAGCAATTTTTAAATATATTCCGATATTCTCCATTGATCCTCTTTAATATTTTTATTAGATATAAAATAGTCCTTCAAATTGACGCGAAAGAAATTCAAGAGGATTCGAAACAACCGCGCTATCATCGAGCTATTTGGCACCCATTAAATCGCAACTTATTTGCTGTGGCTACCGATGCAAACGATGCTTTGATATTCGATATTAGTGAGATATTAGGTGGTAATGAAACAGGAAGCTTCAAAGAATCTGAGATTACTGGAAATTTTTTAAAATCAGAAGCGCACGAAAAGGTAAGCCTATAGAATTAAGTTTCAAGATGGCCACGTCAACCAACATCATTGATCTGATTCGGATCATTTATTGGGTTTAATAATGTAGCCAATTAATGATTTGGCATTTTCTCCCGATGGATCTATTTTGGCCATGGCCAGCGGAGACAGTGTTATCTTTTATACCACTGATTTTAGTACAGCCATCAACCCTGTGCATAGAATCATTCTTGATGGGCAACTAGTGTCTTCTGTCATGTTTGTTGAGGGAGGGTACTTTAATTCGGAACCATCTCTATCTTTAAAGGTTCGGTATGTGATTATTGGCACTGAACGTAACACAATCCTTAATCTTTATGACATCGAATCTGCCGAATATATACAATCGATTAAGTTTCTTCCACCCCCCGAACGTCGTCCGTCATTGAATAAGGCCTCCCGAAAAGAGGAATCCATGTTCAATTGTGTTGGCTTTAATCAGAGTACTCGTACTTTGATCGTATCCAATAGCGCTCGAAATTCAATCTTTGCTTTTCATATAAATATACCCAGTAGAAATTTTGACCTCACAGCCGGTGGAAATATGGAATATGGGTCAACATCTGATGATTACTCCATTGCAAATTCTGTGCAGTTTGATTACATGGTTGAGCTTCCTATTAATCATTTAATTAGAAGCTTCGTTGTGATGCCTGACACTAATACTTCCGGCGGAATTTTGTTGTACTGCATCCATCCTAAAGAAGTGCATTATTACACTATCTTCAAAGATACATTATTACCTCAGAACGTTGATGCATGTCCGGAATACGCATGTGATCTAGATCGTCAGCAGCAAGAAGTTAAAGATGATATCAAGAAGGAAGTAAATACAAATGATTTTCCAGAGGCACAGGAAATTATTTCTCAGATGGTAAATTCAAGTCACTCTTCTGTTGAGGAAGCTATCTTCGAAAAGGACATTGTCAAGGAATCATTGGTTACGGAGTCCTCCACTACCGAGGGATTAGTTTCCGAAACAAATGCCGCAAATCCGGACTTAGATGAAGCGATTTTAACAGAAAAGGGAAATGTTATGTTTGGCAATATTCAAGATTCTGCTTTAATTGTTGAAGAAAACGCAAATAAGAACTCGGAGAATCAAAAATTGCAAAAGAGTAAGTCAGCTGGCCAAGTAAACGGTACGAAATCTAAGACTAGAAAGGCGAACGCGGTGACGAATACTTCTGCTGCTCTAACTGTCGACGCGTTGTCTGACTCGGAGAAGACTAATAATAATAAGAAGACACGTCGGGGGGAGAAGGATAATGAGAACTTGGTTCACTCGCCCGAGACGTCGAACAAATCTGCCGGCAAAAAATTCGCCGAAGGTGGTGCAAAAAATAACGGAAAGTCGGGTGTGGGTGGAGCTAAGAAAGTAAATGAGGCATCCCAGGTATCTGGAGGAAAACCCTATCCAGTACCAGACGTGCCAATTGTCGGCTCCCCTTCTTCTTCCGGGATATCCTCTGCTCAAATGCAAATGATAATGAAAGAAATAAAAAAAATGGAAGATAGTATCACTAATAAACTTGGGAAATCGTTTTCGAAAGAACTGGAAAAGCAATGCACGTCTTTTATCCTTTCTTTCAATTTGAAAAAAAAAAAAAAAAAACGATACATCGATATTTAAATAACATATTTCTGATATTCTTTGCGATACAGTTCAAAAAATAGAAGAAGAGCGCATAGCTCACCAAGCTGCTGAAACTTCGCGCCAGGAAACGATTCTTAAAATGGTATCTCAAACGCTTAGCACAAACACCTCCAAGTTGTTGGAATCGACGATCCGCAACGAAATTCAGATTTCTGTTCTACCTACGTTAAGCAAGATGGTAACCAATGCTGTTGATAAACATGCACATAGAGGGATAACCGATGCAGTAAATAAGGTTCGGATTTACGAGTTTGTAGTAATTTCTGGTGAAGAATGTACGACTTAATTACCACCATCTGCATTTCTTCCAGAGTATACCGGCAGCAATCGAAAAATCTGTTGCTGATAATGTACAACGTGTTCTTGCAAAAACTCCTGTGATCGATTCCATTGCGAAAGCGGTATCCAAAGCCATTAGACCGGTCATAGAAGAAACTTTTAGGGATAATTTTACGACCGTCCTTATTCCCTCCTATCAAAAGGCTACTAACGCGATGTTTGAGCAAATCACGGCTACCTTTGAGGCCGGAATGCAGGATATTGCTGTCAAAAGTGCACAAGCTTCTTCGTATAATAACACAGCGAACGTCGATAAGAATGCCTTAGCACGCTTGCAAGTATCCGTTGAAAATCTTACACAACAATTAAATCAGTTGCAGGGTAACTTGACAGGGCATGGAGGACATCAGGTATCTTAGAATTCTAACGAGTTCGTTTTGCTTCTTAATCTCGGAGATCATAAATCATTAATGACTTGCAAACCTATCAGAATCAATTAGCTCGATCTCTTTCTGATGAATTGAAACGCATTTTAAATCCTCAAAATTCGAATACAAGCCAACAACCTTCTGTCTCTCAACAGGAACCGTACATTTACGGAAGGGCGTCATCTTCGCAGCAGCCACAGCAACAACACCAGTCGCAGTTGTTTTCCCCTGCTGACCCTCCGAATCTTGTAGAATATGATAGATCTCTAGAGGCTGGAAACTACGAAGATGCGTTTGTGGCTGTTAGTATTATACAAATCCTCATTTTCTCTTCTATTAAAAGAAAGATATGTTCACTACTTTACCACATTGAACTTGAAATGAATGATTGTATTTGTAGGTTCTCTCCACACACGAGATAGTGCATATTTTACGTCTTTGTCACAAGCTCAGTCCGAAAACTGTTTTCCTCCCCGCAAGATCTTTGGTGACTCAGCCTGTCATTCTTTCACTTATTCATCACCTATCTTTCGATCTTCATAAGTATTCTGAATTAAAGCTTTCATGGATAGAAGAGGCTGTTTTAAAGCTTAATCCGAAGGTATATAATGAAATTATTTATTAAGTAGAAAAAAACAAACTAACGAGTATTATTTTTTATAGGACAGTACTATTAGAGAGCACTGCGAAAGGCTCTTGCCAATGGTGAGACAACGTCTTGAGCAGTATTATTGTCAGGTTCTCACGCAAGACCCTTCAAGTCCCAGTTTGAAAAGCATTACACTCTTAATTCACGTTGTCAATGGCTTACTCATATAAGGACAAGAGTATTAGTTGGAATACATATTAATAATGTTATGATCTTTGAATATATGTATTCTTGATGTTTTGGTTTTTCACAGATTTCAGGTTCAAGGAAATCTTTTATGTATTGTATATTAGACTGTTTATTGATAGCATTTATAATTTTCAAAT